TATATAACATAATTTCGATCACCAAGTGATCATCTTCAAGATGAAGAATATTTTTCCTTTCGAAAATAATAATTTGGTGATTAAAAAACATGTCGAGGTGTATAGTTTCTCTGGAAGAGGAAGAATAATCTTCCTTTTGAAGAAGAACACTTGGTGCTCAAAACACGTGTCGAGGTGTACTGTTCCTCTGTAAGAGGAAGAGTAATCTTCCTCTTGAAGATGATCACTTGGTGATCGACACACGTGTCAAGGTGTTAAAATAACGATTAGGTGTTGAGAAAGAACTCCAGTAATATTCATTACTACACCAAAGGTATCAAACAGTGCATCACAAGTCCTCAAATTCACTCTCTGTCTTTGTATAATCATCGACGATAGGTTAAACTCGTCTGGCCACGTAGATTATGTACTTCGTAAGCTGTCTAGAGTTTTATTTGTCCTAAGACAACTCAAACCAGTAACCAATCTAAACGTATTGAAACCATCTTACTTCTCTTTATTACATTCTAAAGGTTCTATTATGTGGTATTCTATTTTGGTGCAACTCAAGTAATGCAATAATGGTATTTCGATATACGAAACAGGTCATTTGTATTTTAGCAAATGTAGGATACGTAGATCACTGTCATCAACATTTCATTCAGCTTGGTATCATGTCGATAACTTCATTATACATATACGTCGTTTTGTTAGAGATACATGAAAACATAAATGGATTTAAGAAACACTTCGATATACATCAGTATAACACAAGATCTGCAGATATGTTGAATCCCCAACGACAGAGAATAGTTGTCAGCCACAAAAAGTCTCTGAACCCAAATTTATATAATGTTTTCGATAATTCAGTGAAAGCATTGGAATTTAAGAAATACAATACAATACAGTTCTACAATGTAATGGAATGTTTGACCAAACAAGTTCATTTAAATACCCATTTTATATTATCAAATAATCATTTGGTCAGCCAATAATCATTTTCGAATAATAATTTTATTGTGTTATTCATATGTATTCCTTTCATATGTTTGAAATTTTATTTTTAATGCAATATGTCTCTTTATGAACTGTGACTTGCCATTAATGTATTCATATCGAGTGGTCCAACGAAAAGTATGCACTTTGCTTTTCTCCTTTTTTTGTAACTTAACGCAAAAATGCTCGGACAGGTCAATTTTGCTTTTGAGGGGGACACATTCAAGATGTATTTTTCTATCTATGCCTTCAACCCCCTAGCGAGGGTCAGTAACAACCCTTAAATTTTAAATGGAAAGTGGGGTCGAGTGATATATCATTTGAAAGGGCACAAAATTCTCTTTTCAATGATACTTAATTTGTTGTATTTACTTGAATAGTTATAAAAAAAGCAAGAACATTTACTCGATATTTTTGGTGTTAATGAAAATGCGGAAAAAACGGCATTTTTATCACTACCATATTTCTCAATTTTTCTCGTGCGTTTTTTGGTTCAAATAACAACAGCAGATAAGTGTACAAAAAAATTTAGGCAAACGTTCATTGATTCACTTCCGTTGCTTTTGAAATGATTTCAACTTTACTGTGAAAATGGTTTATTTCATTCCTGAACGAGTTGAAATTGTTAAACTTCAGTATCAACATAATAGTTGTGCTAGACTTACTGCTCGCCTCTTTAATAACAGTCATCCCGGGAAAAATGTGAATGATTCGTACGTTGCTAAGTTAGTCCAAAAGTTTGTCGATACCGGATCTGTCTGTAATGTAAAACACCAGCCACGGAAACCGATTAGAAATGAAGCAATGGAAGTCACTGTTTTGGGACATGTTGAATTGGATCATACTCAAAGTACCCGCTGCAGCCTCAGGTGTCTCCCGTTCGTCCATAATACGGATATTAAAAGCCTAGAAATTTCATCCGTACAAAATTAAATTAGTACAGGAACTCAATGAGGATGATCCTGATAGAAGGCTGCAATTTTGTGAACAACTGAGCCAGCTAATAATTGATGATCCGCACCTATCATTCAACACGTGCTTTTCCGATGAGAGTACATTTTTTTGAATGGAGCTGTGAATAGTCATATCGTAGGGCCACTTTTTATTTCTGGGAATTTAACTGGTGGGGTCTACCTGGACATGCTTGAAGGTACAATTGTTCCTCTCATAACAGAAATAATTGAAAATAACCAAAATCATAATGATGATCGGCTTCATTTCCAGCAAGATGGAGCACCTCTTCACTATGTTGCTCCGGTAAGAGAGTTTTTAGATGACCGGTTTCCTGGACGGTGGATTGGAAGGAGAGGCCCCATCGAATGGTCTGCCAGGTCACCTGATTTATCGCCTTTAGACTTTTTCCTTTGGGGACACTTGAAAAATAAATGTTTTGCTACGCAGCCCGAGTCCATTATTACACATTTCAAAGTACTGGGTTGTAGTTGTTTTTCTTCATAATACCTAACTGAGTGAAATACAACAAATTAGGTATCTTCGGAAAGATAATTTTGTGCCCTTTCAAATGATATATCACTCGACCCCACTTTCTATTCAAAATTTCATGTTTGTTACTCACCCTCGCTAGGGGGTTGAAGGCACAGGTAGAAAAATACATCTGAAATGTGTCCCCCTCAAAAGCAAAATTGACCTGTCCGAACATTTTTGCGTTGAGTTACAAAAAAAGGAGAAAAGCAAGGTGCATACTTTTCGTTGGACCACTCTGTATGTAACATGGTTAAATAAAACTCTACTCTTCTCTATAAATCACCAATGGAAGTCATAGAAGATGTGGGGAAATGAGAATATTGATAAAAGATGGAAATATCATCTATTGAACTGAAAAGATTAACAGCAAACATTTGTTAATCAAGCGTCGATTAATTTCTTTTACGGCTGTCATGATACGCCAAATATTTCTTATAGTTCTCTCACTGATAATTGTATTGTCTCGCAATTTAAATCATGAAAAAGTGAAAGCAGTAATTTACAAAAGCTTCATCATTAATAGCGTTACCAATATTTACCACTGTATTCTTTCAATGAGGGACCAGTGCCACCAAAATCCTTAGGCAATATATCTTCGGAAACATATTCCTTCAGGGAATCAGTTGACTTATGGAAGAAGAACTGAAAAAAAAAATCCTTGAATATATATTTCAAAATAAATGAATGATTGAGTTTGTAATTTTGCATGCAGAAAACAGTTGTGGATTCACCTGTACCAACTTGACAGTGTTCACTTCTAGTGTTAGAGGAAAGTATTTTATTTAGGTACTCTCTACTACATTGGGATAATGAAAATTTACAACATAAATATAACATCATGGTATTATCTCTATGAAATATTCCTAAATTTCATTCCTTGAAAAAATTTCAAATGTCAGCTGTTTGGAAAATCATTCTATCCATGATAATAAATTACAAAATGTATTTATTATGTTCCAGAAAATCGAAATCCATTATATATTTTACTGAAAACTATGTTTACTCTTTTCTTGAAACGACACGATGCTATTTGAAGAGTAACGGACCAAGAATAACATGAGAATAGTTTTACGATTTTCCATAACGATTTGACAACTAACCTGTCTAATCAAAAACATAAAACAATATAAGCACAATACACCTCGTGGTATTAAAATACGTTAGTGTAAATAAACGGATAGAACATATGAATTGTAGTTAGAAAAAATGAATAAAGATGAAAGAATTGTTTTTCTCGATTTAACCATTCGCTATTCTATATTTTTCCTACATTTCACAGTGTGGTCAATAATTCAACTCACCTCTAGTATTGTAGTATAGTTTTTTATGTGGGTAGGAGTACACTGAGCTAGGTGCTCTAAATTCAAGTGTTTGAAATCGTAAACCATGATATCGCCAACATTATAATCCTCTTTCATTCTCACTTCAGTAACATTGTAGATGAGCGAGTGAAAATTGACGATGTTAAAATCTGGATTATCATCAAATAAACGAAAAATTATTACTCGATATCCTTCATCTGTTGCTTTCGGCATCGGTATGTAGCAACTGGAAAAAAATTAGTTGTTTAGTATATAACATAATGACTAAACGTGTTAAGTCGTAACACTCAGATGCAGATGAAAAATTGTAAAAATTCAATAACTATAGCACTGATCAGTATTCTGGAAGTTCAACAGCAATCAAATATCTTGTTTCAATCAGAAAAACTGTGCGATTTTTGTCTTCATGTATCTGTTAATGGGTTTGGGATCGTATTATTCAGTAATAATCTGCAGTGTTTCTTTTTATATGTATATTTTTGACACCTGATATCTTTGATTCTCTTCGGTTCTTCAGATTGATGAATGGTAATAACGAAAAGAGATCGAATATTTTTGCCAATATAAAAACATCATTCTTTATCAGATAACTAGAACAGTATCACTGACCAATTCTTATAATCAAATGGATGACGGACGATATTCAATGTTCGTATACGACAAAGTGATATGGAGGTATTCGACTGATAAAGAATATATCTCTGCTGAAGGATGATTTTCTGATTTTTGGTTCCCAGAATACACAGGG